GGTGTGTACCTTCGTTCAACTTTTACCAGGGTAACCAGTTTTTGTTTAAATTAAAGTAAAATAGAATCAGCCATTTCTAAGATCTGCTTTGTGTCATGGCTGTCGAATGCCATAGATTGTTAACTCAACTGTTTTTATTTTAATTCCTTTTGTCACTCAAAAAGTGCAGTGTTTAAAAGCTTATCTCTTTCATCAAAAGTTGCATTTGTGTGTGTGTGTTTTGACTGGGGGGGGTTCTCTGCTTCTCCCTGGAAATTGTATCAGGTGTCCAAATTTAGTATTCTGTGTGTTTTTCTTTCCCTTCATGCACTAATATTTGTAGCCCCAAACCAGAAGTGCATCTACACACGCATTTCCATGCCTTTCTCCTCCACCAAAAGTGCCCAGACCCTGATGCCACACTCATCCCAGACCTGCAGCCCTGCTCATAACTCCCCATCCTACCTGTCATCTACCTGTTTTGCGATTGTTAACAGGCTTTCCTGTTCACATTTTGTGGATAACAATTTAAACCAGGGATATCAAACTCAGTCACTGAAAGGGTCACATTAACCGCCACCAATAAATTTCCAGGCCAACCAATGTATTTTATTTAGCCAATAATACTATGACCCAAACTTTAGTTATTTTGTTAGATTTCTTTAGTATATGTAAATAACATTTACAAATGTGAATTCCACAGTAAACATTATTCCTGAAAATTCTCTTTTTAAATAAAACTAACCAATGATATAGAAAAGCCTCTCTAAAGATACAGAATTATAACACATGCGAACACGGGGCTGATTAATTATTATTAATCGGGGGAGGGGAGTATTGGGGGCGGACAGGAAGAGGCAAGGTATAGTGTGGGTTCGCACAGGATGATCGCCATTTCCCCGGCAGGGCTGTAACAGGACACATTTTTGCCATGTGCCATTCAGTTTCATCATTTTCAGTTCAGAATGCATAGTGAAACAAATAAATACATTTCTTAACACAAGCAGAACCTGAATTCACACAGAAAGCATTATACTAATTGTGGCTATGAGTTACAGTCATTCAGTCATGGTCAGTTTGGGAACATTTTGATTTCCTGAAAAATCAGACCAGCACTACAGAAAAAGTAGATAAGACCAAGACTGTTTGTCAGCGGTATTATATATACTTGCTGGTAAAGAACATGTTGTTTACTTCGTGTTATTATGCAGTGTTATTTTGGAATTGTTTGTTTGCATGTTTATTTTTACAATGTGCAAATAAGCATCCCTTAGGTTTTGTTATTCAGACACGTTAACATCAGACACATTGCATCTGGTTAACAATTGTTCCTAATTGTATTTGTGTTTGCATTTTTAGTAATAAGCCTACATAATTTCAGAGTTTTTTCGGCTATACCAAAATTGCACCAAACCGTGAAACCAAAACTGAGGTTTGTACCGAACCATGAATTCTGTGTACTGCCACACCCCCATTTCCAGACTATTTCTAACAGAATATCAAAAACCATTTTGCGGGCCCTGAAGAATTGTATTGTGGGCTGTAGGTGATCCACGGGCCTTGAGATTGACAAACGTGGTTTAAACGTAGCTACATTTGTTATGTGGTTTTTAGGTAGTTACAGAACCACAGAGAGGCGAAATTTAAGGTTTGAGGGGACATGTATGTGTAGTATGGGTGTGCAATTTGCAGTTATGTAGGGAACAATTCAATTAATCAGAAATGTTTAATTGCAACCATGAATCAATTGTTTTCACAACCTAAGTTCATTTTAACTTCACTGGAAAAAAAGTCACATATGACTTAATTACACAGTAATGGAATAGAAAGGGAGTAGAATCTCAGAACATTATTTTTTATTGTTGTTATTTAACAAGAAGAACAAGTCTGTGTAATTACTGCAAACTACTGAACTGCATGGGGAGAAATGAAATAAAATAAAGGATGTATTATGTGATTGGCTGCTTTCATCTAGACTAACTGGGTGGGGTGGGGGGTAGGGTTAGGGGGTTGCTCGTGCAGATTGATGTTACATCATTTTTTATTCTGTGGAAAACCGATCTGCAGGCCAGATTTAATAACGAATTACAATCATGTCACTGGCCAGCACTGAGACCTCTTATAAATGGTGAACGAACTGACGGATTCCCTTGTCCTTCACTATGGAAATTAGCTGATCAAAGCAATCCGTACTTGTGTTTTTAACTCTGACTCTGCTAACTTTGAATATCAGTAAATATTGGTTGTAAATGTTGGCCAAGATTGACACAGCAGATATCTTAATTTTGAATAAATATCCGCCAATATTGATATGTTAATATTATGTCTTGCATCTCTAAGGCTTATGTAACTTTTTTACTTAGCTAGCTAGCTACCTCAGAATCTTGATCATTGCCACCAAAAAGCATTGTAGTGCAAAGATAAAAATCTTAACCAGACAGAGTGTTCTGCGCTACAAAACAGGGGTGTAGTGCGAAGATCATAATTGTAGATTCGTAGTAGAGACATCATCATGTAGTATTTCCTTTCAAGTGGTGTAAAACTTCCCCTGTAATAACAATTTATCATAATACATCTTTACACCACAAATATTTTTAATTCATAATACTGTGAGGCTGAGGGGCTGGTAGATGAAGAGTAATTATGTGGCTATTAGGGTGCTGAAGTTAAGATGTCTTCTGAAGATATTTCATCCTATGTGTTTTTTTTGAAAAGGACCCTGTTTACATAAAAAAAATGTAAATTATTGTGTGTTCCATTATAGCAAATTGCAAGTTCTTTTGCTCAAGGGGAATGGGGTGCCTGGAATGCACATGCTAGTCGACATGTTGACTTTGCTGCCTTGCGATAATGCTTTAACCTTGATGGTGAAACTTGCCATTGCTTATTAGCGAAATAGCATTACATTGTGTTTTATTCTTTGGAAAACAAAACATTGTACTCCTGGCCAGATTTACTAATGACTTATAAACGTGTCGCGGATCGTATAATTGAAATATGTGTCCCATTTTGATCACGATCAATTCTGCCAGTAACTAACAGTTAGCAAAAAAAAAAGTTTATCCTCCATTGATTTGGGGTGCTGGTGTAGTTTCGTATGACATTATGGTTATTTATTCTGTCCTGTTGCATGGTGGGAAAGAAACACACAAAAGTGGCCAGGAGCCACAAAAGTTCCCAGTGGAGACAGCCCAGGCATTTGGAACCAGGAACTAGGTTCCTAAACTTGGGTGGAAAAGCGCCTTACGACAGTGAGGAGCAGGCTTACAGGCTAGATTTTACGAGAGTTTTGTTTTCCTCCCCAAGTGTTATACTGATATTTCAAACTTTCTTCTTTAGTTAGATCTATAGTCTTCTTTCAGTTAAATGGAAGTTGTAGCATATAAGTGTATATTGTATCAATTATTGCTGCTGAGCAACCTGTTGTTGTTTCCACTTCTTTCTGTTCCCTGTAAAAGATACATGTATGAGCTGTCTGTTGTCAGCATGTGCATTAAGCTTTACGAATACAGATTGTTGCTTGTTGCGGTTTTATTAATGATATCATCAGCGATTAGCTTATATCAACTCAACTTTTATGACATTATTTTCGGCTTCAAGTAATCTGAGGTTGTGCATCCCCTAGAACCTGCTTTTACACATAAAAACTCCAGATATCCATTTACAATCATGAGCATTTTTCTCCACCTGGGACCGGCCTTTGAATGATGCCAGCAAATCGTCTTTGCAGCTCGAGTCTGTTTGAACACAAGGTTTGTGTGGTTTCTCTGGCAAGCTCTCCACAGTGGCTGGATCAAGTGGTGTACTCTCCACAGCAGCTGGTACACTGCGGTTTTCCACTGTGCCTCTCCTGTGATATCTACCTTCCTTAAAGTGACGTTGAGGCATCAGTCACATTCTTTTTGGACAAATATGCAGCCACATACAGTAAGTATTTACTTAGAACGGCAGGTTTAAGTGGACTGTTTTTTAATAGGCTGAATTTTGTATAGTTGAAACCAATTTCATCAGGCTTTTTAATGAATGAGTATTAAACTGTCGAACATAGTACAGTCATGTTAGTCTGTATGTGGTTTCTTTACGTTCAGGTGGTTTTATTTGAATCTTTCCCTGTACACCTTATATGCTTAGAGAATGATGATTTGATGTTCAAAGTGGGTATCAGTAGCTCAGCTAATATGAGTGTGATGCATTTGTTTTCCATCACAATACAACTATGATAATTATAGGCCATTTGCTTGGCTTCTTGGGTAATTAACAGTTTTAATTGCTCCTAGTTCAAGGGAATTTGTTAAGCCTTTCCATTATGTGCATTACCTTCCGTAGTCATTGTCTATTCTCAGCCAAAGGCTTAGTGACATCACCAAAGTCAATTAGGTCTTTCAGAGAGGGCAAGTCAAGTACATGTCTTTGTTCTGGGAATACATAGAAAGGTTTCTGAAACGGATTGATAAATGCTTCACAAATGACAATTACGCCCATGAACTGAGCCAGAAAGAACCGGAAATCAGCTTTCTCTTTTTTTCCTCCCCTCAAGAAATATACGGAATGCTGGGCATATTGTAAGAAAATTGGAGCAGAGGCTTTTCTTTAGCTCTTTAGCAGCACTTGTTCGAAATATCTCTTATCCTCAAAGAACTGTTTGAACTTCCAGGCAAGATGTGATTTCCATAATAGAGGTCCAGGAACACAGTGATAAAGAATTCAGGATGTAGAACATGCTGAAGGATTAATGGGAGGCAGAGAGACCTTCTGAACATTCTCCTTTTTCCCCAAAGTGGACTTACATGGAGAGGCTTTGATTGAGGCTTGTTCTGATGGTTCAGCTAGAGGAACGGGAAGTTGCTTTGTCCACCTTGGAGTCCTGCCTGTGGCATGGGGTACCTGTCTTTGTTCAGCCATGTTTCTGAAGCAAGGACAGGCTGAACGTTTTTGGCTGAGGAAATGGTCGCTAAATATGTTAACTCAGTGTGCCCCATGGGGCCATGAGCTAATACTGACTGTCAATCCTTTGTCCACAGTGCTTGGTGTTTGAGGACGCACCCAATGGTGTCCTGGCAGGGTTGGCGGCTGGAATGCAGGTGGTGATGGTCCCTGATGCCAACCTGGACCAGAGGCTGACGCGGGATGCCACGCTAACGCTAACCACGCTGGAGGAATTTAGGCCGGAACTCTTCGGCCTTCCAGCCTGCAGCTGAGCCGCCATCAATACACAGAGATTCAACTATCCATGCAATTCATGCTAAATTAAACCTGTAAAACTAGTCACATTCTTCTTGATGACATTGATTTGTTTTGATTTGTTTTATCCACTATTCAGGGAAGTGTCAGTCGAGGTATGTTTTATTACTCTAAATAGTGAGCTCTTTTTTCCTTGTCCGTTTTATGAAGTTATAATGTGGTGTGATGAGCCATGCCAGAACTAGTTGTTAATCATTCAGACTTGGAGCGGTAAGGTTTGTTCACTAGTCTGGAGTTCTTAAGCAGAGATTTAACGGGAAGTTCACACCCCCGGCACGTCCTGGGTTAATGTTCTCGAATGGTACTAGAAAGACGACCCACGCACCTCTGTGTTCTGTATCCAGGGGACAGTTTGCAAGGGGCCTCTACCTACACCAAAAATTGAATTTCACACCACGTTCTTACTACTGCTTTGTCCATTCATCTCAGAATTAGGGTAATCTGACACTTTCTACTCTATTTGATTTCATCATTCATTCTTTGAGTTGTTGCTGGAAGGTTTTGAAGTACATGTAGAAGTAAGAATGTCTACATGTTCAGCAGAATAGACAGGACAAATTGAGGTAAGACTGTGGCTGTCATTCACTTCTCCATTGTTTTCAACTGGAGGCAATAGGAAATTCAGGTAGACAGGTTGGTATGTGGTCTAATAGATTTCTTGGGACAAAAGAAACAACATAAAACATGACAGCCACAGGTGACTATATTCAGGTGCACCAATGGAGATCAGAAAAGAAAATATAACCTCTGAATCAGGATTATACTTGACAATAATGAATGGCATTGTTGGCTAGCTCAACTGAAGCGACCACCCACCTTGTAATGCTCACTCCCTCAAACTCCCGACGACCGTGTTTTGTGCCGTGACTCCATAATTCCGACAGTGAGTTACGGACCAGCAGTAATCTCAAAAATCCAGTTCTGACTTCACTGCTCTTTTAGTGAATGTGGAATATGAGTCCCTTAGCATTCCTTCCCCTGCCGTATCTTTTAGTGGTGTGTAAATTTTTTTTTCCTTTTCATCTTCGAGGAGAGGAGGAATGCAGGAAGCAGATGATATAAAGGGCAGGACAGGAACATTTCATAATGCTTTAAAGACCACCTGGCCTCACGAGTAAGTGTGACTGCCGCGCTGAGCGGCTGTTCCAGATAATCCTGAATGGGGATTAGCATCTCAGAATCCCCAGAAGAAGCTCTCGTCACTGGAGGCAGTGTTTAGCTTTGGCCTTTCTGGATAGTATCACTCCATCAATCTGACCATCGTGTTTTGGTAAATTCTCTATTGCAGTAAAAAGTGTTATTTTTCAGTATGATTTTGGATCTTTATTAATGGTAAAAAACAAACATGGTGTGCTTATAAAACAAATAAAATCCAAGTTATTTCATATTAAACTTTTGTTGATTTTCCTTGTCTGTTTTTTTATGGAAATTATCTAGATATTTAATATTTATTATTAAATATTTATTATAAATATATAATTAATCTGCCATATTCTTGCTCTCCAAGGTAGGCTATACTATAACCTTGTACCTTATGGTTGCTTTGGAAAGACTCCAGGATCCCCTATGACCTGCCCCATTATAAACTGAATGGATGGATGGAAGCGATATCACTTCTCTCAAGTATTATTTTTTTTTTAATTATAACCCTCCACACAGCCTGCATTGCACATATGTGGAACTGAGATTAAAATTTTGGGCAGCAATTAAAAAGAAAATGAACCTGGAAGTAAAATAGTGTATCATGATGACAAGCAATAAATGACTCTAACCAACTGCCAACTATTTTTAAAAATGCTGTTATTGATCCTCAGTGTAATCAGCGTTACCGTATGCCACTGTCTGGGAGTCCCACATCAGCCTGATTGCTTCAACGAGTTTTCACCCCCAAATTGCCGACTGGTGCAGTTTCACTGAAGCCGCTCATTTTAGAATCATTCTTCTTCTGTCACCATAGTCAGATGACATACTTCACCTGAGAGCTGTGGTTTGAGGCTCAGGGAAAGTGCCGGATGAAGGCAGCTTCTAGAATGTTACTGTCAGAGGACATCTGCGGTTGATTTTTAAAAGCTTGCTGCTGTGTCTCCCATAAGCTGACGGAGAAATGACGTTGAGGACCTCTGCAGCGGTAAATGATACACAGAGAGGCCTTGTAAAATCAGTCATCTTGTGTTCCGTCAAATCTACCTTTATACCTGAGTTTTATTTTTCTTTTATTTTTACCGACACATTATTTCTCCCCAGCCACATTTATAGAATAGTTATAATCCAAGCGATAGTGATTTCTCCTTTTTATGAACTGAGTCAATCTTAAATTTTCTAGAGAAGTTATTTCAAGCCTCTTTGTAGTGAGTACTAAAACTGAACAGTTTCCCCATTCATGTTTTATTCAGGAATTTAAATTAAAAATGAAATACATTTAGTTCATTCTTTTTCCTTAGAAATTCAGATTTAAATGACAAAATATCGATATCATAGTGTTCAAGATGAGGTGAAACTGATTAAAAAAAAGGTCCAATTATCATCTGAAAGAGAAAAATGAGAAAAAGTCAATATTTCGTGTTGAAACAGTTAATATTTGCTAATATTGTGACTGAAGGTCATGGCTATAACATGTTATTAAAGAGATTGTTTCTATAGTAACTGTAACAGAAAACCCCAGTAAATCTTCTTTTAAACAGCTTTGAAGGAAACTGCATACAGGTTTATTAAAACTCATTTTTCACTTGCTTTTTTTAAGGGCCGAGTCTTTTTAATGAAATACCGAGAGAGTGATGCACTGCGATGCTGCTGGTCAGCAAGCGGAACGTTTTAAGGGAGGCATACTGAGTAGTGTGGAGCGAAGCCATTAACGAAGACGGAGCTCTCAGGCTAACCCTTAGCAGCGGGCTGGGGACCGTCTCATCCTTCAGTGTCACACTCCCCTAATCCGTCCCGCTCATCGGCCCATTTTTTATTCCATTCTTCATGTATCTTCAGCAGATCAAATGCTGGAAGCAGACGGGTCACACCGAGGTTAAAATGACTCATGGCTTTAAAGTTCCATTATCATTTGCTAAGAATGAAGAATGTTTATTTTCCCATCCTATCTCCAAGCAAGCTGTGGCGTGGATATCTTGGCTCAATACTTCATTGGTGTCATCAGTTCCCAGTCTTTAATGGAAATACCTGTTAAAAATATTACATTTATTCATATCTGTAGAAAAGATATGCGATTAGTCTGGTCAAATGCAAATTGTCCAATGGAGCATGGCAGAGTTTTTGATGGGGTGGAAATAAGTGGAAGAATAGAAAAACAAAGAACACCCCTGCCTCACAAAAATCCACTGAATCAATTAATTTATGCAGTTACAACAGTCAGAAATGCCAAACACTTACAATTGTGCCTCAACTGTGTGTTTGGACACTTGTCTCCCAGAGAACTATCCTCCCATGAGGCACATAACTAAAGTGCAGTAGCAGATATTGATTGATATTTGGCAGGAGTTAATGTTTAGAATGTTTGTGACTAACAAACAAAGGTCACTTCACTGTGCAGTAAGCGTGTTCAGTAATGTTAACCTGGTCAAGTTTTTTTTAAATTCTAGTGCTGAAACAAAGAGCCTGGGTTATAAATCTGCTGCAATCTCACTGGATTTGATCATCCTTTTCACAATATTAATTCAGCTGTAACAGCTGTTATGAGGTTAACACAATTCTATGGAGACAAAATTTCACTCATTTTGGCATTGATTTTCAATTCATAATGGATGATTGGAATTATTTAAATGATATCTGTTAAAAAGGCACACACTGTTTAATGACTAAACCATAGTAACCCTGGAAAGAAAAACATTTAATGTCGTCTTCCCGCAACTGCAATAATGATGTATTAAGTAAGGATCAAACTATGGTTGTTGTTTAACCCTGTAATTGCAGGGATTGACTTTGGTTTATGTTTTTGGAATACTCAAATGTGATAAAAGACCGTGAATACACAAAAAGAAGAGTGGGTTAATATTATTAGTCAAGAAAGAAGAGTAATTAACCTTAAAGAAAATTTCAGGTGGGTGGTGCAGCGGTTGGCACTGTTGCCTTACCCCTCTGGGACCAGGGTTTGAGTCTCTGCCATGGCTCCATGTGTGGGGGGTTTGCATCTTCTCTTTGTGTCATTGTAGGGTTTTCACTGGGTACTCCAGTTTCCCCCAACAGTCCCTCTATTATTGCCTCTATGTGTGAGTGAATGGTTGGGGTTTTTCCCTGCCTTGCACCCATAGCCTCTGGGATGGGCTCCAGACCCCCTGTGACCCTGAATAGGACAAGCAGTTACAGAAAATGGGTGGAAAATTTCAGGCCCTGTCATTTCCACCTCCTGAAGAAGTTGCTTGTCATTCCTGACTTTGGCAGCTTTGTGCTGGGTTGATATAAATGGGTAATAGGCAGTGAAGCTGGGTCATCTACCAGCCTTCCCTACCTACAAAATTCCTATATTGAGAGATTTTAATGTACAGTAATTTCCCAGTGGAATCAGGATGACTGTAGAAACTTCATTTATCAATTTTATTTAAAGTCATTAAGAAAATTCTTACATCTAACATCACACACTGATTAGCATTAGATTCCACTGCAATAAAATGCAGTGCAGAAGTTTTACCTCTGTGTCCATGTGTTTTTTTTATCTACTGAGCATTTTATGTTCATATGTGTACAGTCATAACTAAAATGAATAAATGCTAAAATCTCAAAATACTAAAATTGAGCAACAAAAAAAGTTTTTCTGGATCTTTTCTGAGGTGTGCAAAATTTTGATAAGATGAAAAGTCTTCATTTTTTTGTTACATCACTGGAATTGAGAGAAGTCAATTCAGCATTATGGCCAAAGTGAGTTAATGTAGCTGATGTGATTTTCAACATTCACCTTGAATACGTCAGTGACCAGGAGAAGCAGAAAGACAGAAAAAAAAAAACATTTCAGAAGAACAGTTAGGTAAGGGGACTGATAAGCGTGTTCTGCAAATCTTCTCAGGATGCACACAATAGGAGGCACCTGACTGTCACCATAAGCGAGCTTTCCTGGATTCCTGACAGTTATTATAGGCCGTGATTGATGTGCTTTATTTTCGCCTGCGAAACTTCGGGAGGACACGATCTCCTTAAATGCTTTTCTACAGCTTGACACATTACTGATACAATTATTAGAATGAGGGAATCACCACGGAGGACTTCATTCACAGATGGTTATCTCTTTCTAACAGCTAAGACGGCATCTGTTTATGCTGGATGTAAAAACATCTATAGGCTTGGAGAGGGGGGAAACCTTCTTATGTATCGTATCTTGATATGTCATGCTACATTTGTCTCGAAATCATTAGTGTTTATATATTTAGTATGTATACTAATCATTTGAAGACAAGTATTGATACAGTCAAGATCACTACTGTATCACAATCACAGTGATATAAAATCAGCCTTTACCAAATTAATTATGGTGGAATTACCAACGATATCAATGCAGTTAGGCTAATAGGTGACTCCTAATTGCCTTTAATGTTTGCATGTGTATATATTTCCTTTGAAGGCAGGCATCCCTCTGGCCTGTACTCTTACCTTTGGCAGTCTCCAGACCCCCCAGGACCCTGTCTGAGATAAATTTGGAAATGGTTTTATATCGAGAACATTTAAAATTATAATAAATGATAAGCGGCAGAGCGGCTTCCCATCCAGGATGTGTCATGCCCTGTGCTTCCTGGTATAGATGTCACATGAGGCGACTTCTGAGAAGCTCTTTCTCTCTGCCACATTTTCATTTACTGAAGCAATTCAGTTGATTATGGGTGTTGGGACCTGTAACCTTCAGGTCAAAAGGCCACTTAACTAGTTATGACACAGGTGAAGTCCTGGATAAAGGCTGCATTTCCTCAAACCTATCACGTTCAGATCCCGTCCACTGTCCTTCAGCAACTGCACAATAAACTAGTCTTTGTGTCTTGGGCCAAGTGCTTTATCAGTACCATCACAGCAATTCCGATAACCCCAGATGGAAGATCTGGGTGTAAATAACAGCAGTGACATTTGCAGTAATTCTAGAATGTTTAACCAGTTCTGCTTCACCTGATCTCCTTGGGATTCATTTATGAGTACTCTGTATGATTTCACCAGTCTGTGCTAAAGATGAATTTCACTGATCTGCAACACAGGGATTTAAACCCCCTCCCCCGGAGAGGGAAGATAGGGAGATCCAGTGGTTGCTACTGGAGCCCAGATAATTATGAACTGCTGAAAAATGCACATCACACATTTAATGGAGAATGTAGGTTTTGGCGGTAAAAGGCGCCCATCGTCAAAGGGATGCTGAGTGTGATGGATGGCGAGGCTGAGGAGGGGCCGCCCGCGGAGGCAGTCTGCCCTGGTGA